GGCTCCGAAGGTCCCGAACATGAAGGCCGCGCGCTCGCCCATTAAAAAGGCCTTATTAATATTGTAATTCCCTTTTAATACACGTAAATCTAGGATCAAGACAAGGCCACCTCGGAGACCTATTTTATGGCTGCTTAGATTTTATAGATCTCTTTGAATGTGCGCCCGTCCTGTGAGATAATGCTCCACATCTTGAAACTGGCCGCTCGTCAATCGACGGGATTATACCGGGGTCTAAATAATCGGCGAACAATTAGTTAAATCGTCGCCTCTGCGAGTTGATTCGTTCATTTTTTACGTATTACAGATATCGATCAATCGTACGGACATTCAACGGACAATGAAGGTATTTATATATATAGTTTAATTAAGAAAAAATTCCTATATAAGTCTTGATTTAAACTTCTTTTTTTTCTGTGTGGTACACTGAGAGAAAAGTATTTGGTATTTGCGACTATAATTGCATAGTAAAATAATTATGGTTGAGGTTTTTATTTTTATAGTTATTATTGCTATAACATTAGTAAAAATAATCTTATATGTATAGATGTTTAACTTATAGTAATTTTCATTATATTTATAAGTATAGTACGACTTATATATATACTAAACATAAATTACAGGTTATAATGTATAAAATCATATCATGGTTAAATGAATGCGCGTTAAAGCTATGACAACAACAATGTAATATTGAGTCAGCTCTAATTCGCATTGTTAAAATAACTATAAAAATGTGGCTGGCACCGAAAATAACTAAAAATTATAGTGAAATTGTAGTAACAACTAATTTGTTCTCTCGCACAGTGTACATAAAAAAATTAATTGAACATACTCAACCAGGTAATAACGCCTAATAACGCGTGATTTTTTGTAAGAATGATATCTCGTGGAAAGCGAAATCCCGATCGAGACGGTGCTGAGCTCGGTCGGGGGCACAAAAGCGGCGCGCATACGAGTCGATTGTTAAGTAGGCGCTAATTATCGTCGTCCGAGATAATAATCGTATCAAAGGAGGATGCGGGGTGGGGGAGGTTGCGTCGTACTGAATCGAAACTACCGATCATGCTTCCAAATAGTGACCGACCGCGGTCAGCTTTCGTCCGTATAGGCATGCGCGCGTAACCGAAACGACGCGTATTCACGCATACGCAGATACACGTATGTACACATACGCAGGTATAAGCAGGCAGACGGGCACACACGCGAACCCCCGTCCGATCGCGTTGATGGCCCGGTCTCTCGCGGTAAAGGAGATAAATCGACCGTGCCATTCAAAGTCCGCGGCTGCCCGGGCCCTCTCGACGCGCATCGAACCGTCGAACACCATAGCACATCGACGGCCGAGAAGAGACGCTCGCGTCTCTACACGCCGTATCGTTTCCGACGATGTGGCCCAAGAAGAGACCGAATCGCGCGCATACTTTTATTATCGGTAACACAAAGGGTTCGGGGAAAGGGCTCGACCGCCGCCGCCGCGAAGTTGGTCCTCTGATGGCCGCTGGTATGACGAAGTAAATTATTTATTCACCGGCGACTGCACGGGTGAATAATGGTTCCCACCTTCGGCGCGAACGGCACCGCGAGAGAGCCGCGCGTTATTGATCACCGAAATATCAAGAGTAGGCGTATCCATCATCCCGTGGTCCGTCGATGGACGCTCGACTGTCGAAACGTTACATACTCTCGCGGAGTTAACCGCGAGAGAGTACGAGCGCGGGAGAGCCGCTTATGGGAAGAATGCCTGCGAGAGAATGCATCGTGTATACGTATACACATATACGTACACGTGTATACACGCATACGTATACACGTACTGACAATAAAATCGATTTTTCACACCGGACCGTTTATCATGCGGCCGCGATAATGGGGCGTGCACGGAGATACGGGATAAATATTTCGAAGTAAATAATCGTTAGCTCTATGGTATCGGAGTGTCGAGGGGGCATTAATAATACCGGGTGCCTGTCTTTACGCTGCGCGCCACGTCCGAACCGAACCCCAGAGTCGGCGAGCCGCGCCGTTTGCGCTCCTCTCGTATCATTCACTGGCCGGCGCGACCGTTCGATCACCGAGTGCCCCGCCGTTTAACCACTTCGCACGATTCTCGAGTCGCGGTCGTTTGCAAAATTGCCGCGTCGATTTGACGGCGAACAATGCGAGCGGCGACGAAGAGCGGCGCGCACTTTGGGGGATTCGCGAGGATCCTATATATACTTCTTGAGAATCACCGGGATACTAATTACGGTTTTCGATCGCGAGACAAATAAAAACCTAATACGTCGATCGAGAAGGATCGCGCGACACTGCCTCGTATACAAACCCGTATCCAGAAAATTAATTTTTACAACAAGAAAGTCGCCACGCACGTTTTCGTGATGTCAGATCGTCGGATTTCGCTTACCACTTTGGACACTTCCCGAGCTAACTGTCCAAATACGAGCTCGTTAAACTGCCGTAATCCGTGACGGGATCAATGGACGGGATTGCAACGGAGTAAGATTAATTATCGTTGAAAATTGTCTTCTCGACCCGACGGCTGTCGACGCGATCACTCCGGAACGCCGTTCCTCCCGAACGAGAGAAAAAAAGAGGGGAGAAAGAGAGAGAGAGAGAGAGAGAGAGAGAGAGAGAGAGAGAGAGATAAGCGGCCGTTCCCGCAACGATGCCCGTGACAAATCTACGGCGATTAATCTCAGTTGAATACCTTTCCGTGTTGTACGCGCCAGCGAGCCAGCCCAGCCAGCCCAGCCAGCACGAGTCGGCTCTCGGTCGCGTTTATTGCTCGGTCCGCGCGGTAGACAGTGACCGTTTACAAGGTGTAACTATGTGCGGCCAGGTGGTCGATCGTTCGAAGCCCCGAACGAAAATCGACCCCGTCAGGAATGACCCCCAGCTGAGAATTCCCTCGAGCTCCTTATTTTTATTTCTCACCTCCTACGGCGTTACCTCTTCATCCTCGCTCTCTCGGCTCTCGCGCGCGCTGAGCTTATACCGGGCCCGAAATGAGCTCCGTTGCCTCCGGTCTGCGGGCCCGGCGGCTCGCCTCGATAATTACGTGATCGATACGCTAAATACTCCGCGGGCTGATTATGTAAATAAACAGACGCCCGTAGCTAATTGAGTGACGCGCGCAAACGCGCGAGCGCGCGTGTAAAGGGAGGCACCAGCCGAAAACAAACAGGTGAGAGTAACGTGAATTTCTTACAGCAGATACTAAACAGATCGAAATTTTTCTCGTTAACGCATGTTGAAGAATGTAACGACATAGAAGTGAAGGAAACGAGAGTTTTATGTCTTTGCTTCCGCGAAGAACACTCTAACGTTATCTTAATTATCTCGATATCCTGGACTTTAGTATTAAGAAGAGAAAATTATACTGTCCAATGATGTTATTACCAGTTACGTTTGCAGGGTGCGTTCAATCGATAGCTCGTTCGCACCCGCAATTTGCGCGGGAGAGCGAAAGAGAGAATACACACGTCTAAGTTTAATCTACTAATCTACCAACGTCGGACGCACACAGACATTAGCTGACTAAAGAGGATCGGGGATAAGCGCGCGCGCACCTTCGTAGGGCGCGAGAAGGATATTCGCGCGAACCTCCGGGGCCCCGCGCGCTTCGGATTCTTATTTCCTCATAAATAATTTTAATGACGCGCCGCGGCAGTTCAGGTATAAGGCCAGGACCTATATGCAGATCCCCGTATCCGTAGGCAGACTCCGTATTGTTATTTATTATGTTCGCCGTGCAGGCTCTCGTACAGGGCCCCGCGCGCACGCGGGAGTGCCCGCCGACCATTTTTCATATCAACGTTCCCTCTACGCCGGGAGACGCTGCATCTTCCTGCGTGCCCGCGGTTTGTAGATTTTACACGTGTCATCGAGATATGTATAGTTTAACTTTGCTTCTGCAGCGTCGACCTCGCGTCGCGATAAAAGCAGCTCCGAAAGGCCAGAGCGCGCCTGTCAATTCGCGAACCAACCCCCTTATGTCCATTTCTATCAACGCAGATTAACTTTAATCCCGGTTTAATTTACCTTTCATCTTTTTCTAATTTTAAGAGTTAGATAAAGATAGAAAGTAAGTTAAACCGAGATTAAAGTTAATCTGCATTGGTAGAAATGGACATTATAGGGTGACTTCGCCTAAATACTGATTAACTCCATCGGTGACCGGTTTTAACCGACGGAATTGTTCGCGGCTCGAAATTTTTAAATTCTAATCCGTCATTTCCTTATCTAATCTGCTTTTCCAAATGACTTAATAATTCCGTCCAAGTTAATGAGATATTGCGAGTTATACCGCTCGACAAGTTAATCGAGTTTTGGCCGAAATTAACTGTTTCCATGTTCGATGTCGGAGAAAGGGCCCTACTTCACAAGAGGAAAGAGGAAAATATTTTATACGCGCGAATTAATAATATCGATGGTACACACGCGTAATACGTATAATTTTTTTTTTTTTTACAAATTAACGTGAGCATCGGTACGGAGTAACTGCCCCGAGGTCCGCGTTTCTCCCCCCCCCCCCTCGTTTCACCCGTTGACGTCGTCTCTCTCGCTAGACCGATAGGCGAGAGAGGGACAGCTCTCTTCCGCGGATCGAGACAAGATCGCGGCCAATCAGCGCGACGCGGCCGCCGTGCCCCTATCACTCTCATCCACGCTGACACGCTCGGCGATTCAAGTGGGGGAGAGACGCGTGCGAATTGCGACCGCGTGGCAGCGCCACCTTCGCGCCCTCTCTCGCTCTCTCTCCTCTCTCGCTCTCTCTCTCCTCGAGGCGGCGGTGGGCCGAACGCGGCCGGGCGAATCGCAACCACGGGGGTTGGAGCCCGCCCATCGATGCCCATGCCGCCCATTCGACGACGGCGAACGTACGCCGTGCGGGTAAAAACGGGAACGGGAGAGAGTGAGGGGGTTTACGATCGCGTACCGCGTCGCGTTCGCTCTTACGCCTGTGTGGCGTACACAGCGTCCGGGCCGAGCGCGCGCGCGAGACCGGGAGTTACGTTATTATAGCGAGAGGGCCCGGAGCGCGAACCGACTCTCCACCGTGTGTATATCATGGTGCTCCTCTCGCGCGTCGCTGTCGCTGTCGCCTCCTCGCATGGCGCTTAATGATCGCCGGTGCGGCTCGCGGAGTTGATAGCTCGGGGTACCTCTCTCGCGGATAATTCTTCTTTTATATTCCGTCGCGATCACATCCGTCCCGTGCAATGTCGCAGACGTCGAAAAGTCGACGGCAATCGTGAACGATCGAGGGTTTGTTATCTGCGCGCGGCGGTGCATCCACGCAAGCCAATTTACGTCGAGCCCTCGCGGAGATCATGAAGGTACGTACCGCGAGTACCGCGGAACCGTAAACATAAAAAAATTGTTCGATGCGTGGAGGAGAAGATAGAGATACACACTGTGTTTAAAATTAAAGGATGAAATTTAAACCATTACCTTAATTGAATTAAATAACAATGTTTTTAACTACCATGTATGTCAAAATTTGTTATTTTAACACAAAACAGTATTATTTTAACTCCATTGATTTACAACAATGGAAATATTAAT